CATTTTTGTAACCCAACGTCTGTCCGATTACAAAGGTGAATTACATAAGCACGTGTAAGCGTGATAAGAAGTAGGAACGTCATGAGGAGGCGGCCTGCTTATGCGCCGGTTTCTTCATCCGGTGCGTCCAGAGCATAAGGTCATCAATGATTCGCTCGAGGGTGAAGATGTTGTGGTGGTTCTGTTGCTTGAAAGTCATGGCGTTTCTGGAGTCCCATATTTTCCCATAGGATAATGAGGAGGATGGAGTGCCATATTAGCGCGTCAAGCTGGTTGGGGAGGCGGCAGTCCCAAAGGTTGTCGATGGAGTTGGGTGGCGATAGTCCGAGTCGCTGCCATATTCTCTGAGCGAGGGGGCAGTGTAGGAAAATATGCGAGGCGGTCTCCCCGTCGAACCCACACCGTGGACACAGTGCGTCTGGTACGATGTGCTTGCAGATAAGGTTGCTTTTGAAGTTGAATCTTTCACGAAACAGAAGCCATGCAAAGATTTTCACACGGTTTGGAACGCATGAAGACCAGATTGCAATGGCATGGGCGTCGTCATCATTGTCAGCCATGACCAGCTGATAAGCGGCCCGTGTAGAGAAACTGAGGCCACCGTTTAGGTAGCGCTCGTCCAGTCCCGGCGACACCTAGAAATCCTGCAGGAGAGACAACAAAGAGCACAACTCGGTAGCGACATTAGATGTTAGGCGGTTCCTTAGGATTGATTCTAGATCGTGGTTCATAACAGCAGCCACACGAGCGAGGGGGGTTTTGGTGTGTGAGTAGAGGCCGGGGGAAGAGAGTAGCGAGTGATTGTTAGTGTAACCAAATATCTAGCCAAAAATAAGTGTTTGTCCCGGACTGTGTGATGAAGAAGGAGATGGAGTGTAGAGCTGGTAGTTGATGGTTTATGGTTTGGCAGAGGAAGGAGTGGCTGTTTTGTGGAGCGATGAGAGCATTTGGGTGTTGAAGGTCAATCCAATCTTGCCACGGAGTTTGGTCCAGTAGCAGAGCTTTTACAGCAAATTTCATTAATAGACAGTTATTCAGAACATGGGGATTTTTTAGACCTAGACCACCTAGCCTTTTGGGCTTACAAACATTTTTCCAGGCAACTAAGCATTGAGCACCGGTGCAAGTTTCCTCTGCGGCCCAGAAGAAAGCGCGGCGTATGGAGTCTAGGGTTTTTAGCACACTTTTTGGGATGAGAAAGACTGACATAAAATAGACTAAGATGGTAGCAATGGAGTCCGGTCGCCCTTGGACAGAATTTTTGCTCGCCAACCTGACAAGAATTTTCGGCATCGTTCGATAATGGGTAGAAAGGCATTTGGGGGTAGACGGGTCGGTGCCAGGGGGAGGCCTAGGTAGATTTGTGGAAAGGTTGAGGTTGTGCATTGCAAGGTGGTAGCAATGGAGTCCGCCACAGAAGGGCAAACATGCATAGATACGAAAGTAGTTTTTGTGTAGTTTATCGTGAGGGCCGTAGCCATTGCAAATTTTTGGAGAATGTGTTTTAGCTACATGGCGGCGTCATTGGATGCCTTGGCGATTATGAGGGTGTCATCGACATATTGTAGAACGGTCGGTGGCAGGTGTGTGAACATGGGGCGTGTTAGGTGCCGAACATTCATAATATGAAATCAATATCAATAGATGTGTCATGGCTTAAATTTTCATATTGTATAACTTTAGCATGGTATATGTTGATATTTTTTATATAATTATGGTCAAACTTTATGAAGTTTGACTTCAGACGATTCTTCTATGCAGAGTAAAAATGATCAGAGGGAGTACATATGGATGTACACTACTCTGTAAAGTTTCATGGTGAAATACTTTTTTATGCTAGCACATGTACTTTTTTCACTATGAAAGTGTACATGATTTTCTCATTTTGTACAGCTCACATCAAAATGTATTTCGTCATGAAATTTC